TAACTGGCATAAATAGTCCATGCCACAATTTGGTAAAATAAGTTTTAACTAACTCATTGAATAAACACATGCTGAATTTAAAAGAAATCAGGTAAAGCTCTAACCACACATTTTATCATTTATGAGTCATCAAAAACATTCCCATTACATTTAATGGGATCTGTGTCTCTAACCTGTACTGTTTCAGCGGTTCCAAGGTGCTTTTCTTTCCAGATAATGACACTCCCCGGGAATGAGTATTAAGAATAGCCGAATACAATTGCTTATGATTAAATTTGTAAAAAAAAGATCATTTTTAGCACTCAATATTTCCTACCCTTTGCTTTGCTCCCTCCATATTCCTGCACAACAGCTAAGCGTCTTTGACAATAATTGAGTCTCGGGAGAAGGTGTGGTCGAGAAACAGAATTGTCATCGCTCTCATTGCCTACACCCTCCCCAAAGGAGCTCACATACTCCATTTTTAACACCGATGTTCATCTCTAAAAGAAAAATGTGTGCAATCAGTAAAGAGAGGAAGCTATCCTGTGAGTTTCTAGTGCTTTGGTTAATACAGGGCATTTATCTCCCTCAAGGCATTTGCACCCTAGAACAGGGGACCAGAGGAAGACGAAGGCAGGAGGAGTGTCTTGGCTTTGTGAAGGGGCTAAGGGGCCTTTATGAAAAATGGTGGTAAGGAAGGAGAACATACTAGATACAGCAAACAACGTGTGGAAGTTGAGGATCTGGAATTCCATTCCCTGAAACCCATCAGTGCAGTCACTCCCTGGAATGGAACATTTAGAGTCCCTGATGGCACTGCCTCAGGGCTGGAAAGTGGTTCATGTCAAAGCAGGGATGGGGGGAAAGGGAGACTGTAGAAATTCTAAGGTCCTAGAAATTCTAAGTCCTCAGGCTATGGCTACAAAGGCCCCAGCTCTCCAGCTATCCTGTTGGTCTATGGGGTGTAAGAGAAGAGGAGTAAGGGAGAAGAACAGAGAAAGTTCATGGAAGAGAAAAAACAAGAGGAAGGAATTAAAAGTTCAAAACTGCCGACCCAGTTCCTTCTCCCTCCTCTTCAAACACTGAGTGGTACAGGCCAAAATTCATAACAAGTGCAAGGGAAACAAAGACAGAGTTGATGACAAACAGGAACTCCACCAGGAAAGGGAACTATGTCTAGCCCCCTTCACGTGGGACCCAAGGCGTCTTGCTGGAGACACATTAACGCCTATGGCGAGGGATGATGACACTCCCTTCCCCCAGCAACCCAGAGAGCACATGTGTGGTCTTATTTTGTTTCACCTTGACCAGCCAGCAAACACAGGATGTGCACTCTTTTGGATGATAATGTATAATGGTAATGACCATGCGCACTTGTTAATAAACAATTGGTACATCCACAGTCATTGCCTAGACCCCATTCTGACAACTCAGGATTCCTTGCCACTGGGATGGAGAAAAGGCCCCTTTTTGGGATGCCTGGCTGAGATACCAGGTAGGCTGTAGAGAGCCCTGAGGCTTACCTCCAAGCCCCAAAAGCCCACAGGTGGGGCGTTTGATCTCTCCTTGAGCCAGGGTCACACGTTCCCTTTCCCAAAGAAGTCCAGACCACACTGAGTATGGTGGATCTGTGTTTTTCTTTTGAAGCAAGAATGGGAAAGAAGTTTTCCATTTGATTGTGAGTTAGGGTTCTGGGAGCAGAGAGGAGATAACACAGAGTATTCATAAGCACAGCATCATTTCAACCAAGGAGAAACTCCAAGAAACTCCAAGCACTCACACTAAACGACAGGAAGGAAGACAATTTTTCTATGTCATAATCAAACCTTGGCAAAAGTCAGTAAGGCAAGCCATGGAATCCAGCAATCAGTAAGACTTTATTGTGTAGCCACTATGTCCCTGTGAGGACCAGGACACTTGGCCACTGCCCTTCTGTTTTTTGGAGCCTCCTACCTGGCTCAGTGTGGTTTCCAATGAGTCAAATTGCCACCATGTCATGGGCATCTTCCCCATTTTATTCGGATTGGTATATGTGAGTCAATGCACCTATTCATACCTGTGTCTAGGACTGATAGGAATGTCCACATGTCAGCTTACATCCATGTGTATGAGACAGCATGTCAGCACATGCACATGCATGTACAGTTGTATACGTGCTGTGTTGATATCTATGTGTATCTTTATGTTTGTGTGACTGAGTGTAACTATGTGTGTTCCTGTGCCAATGGGTATGAAAGAATGTATGTATTCATATGTGTCTGCACACATGCAGGCATAAATGTCTTCATGTATACATTTTTCTGTTCATGTTGTAAAGTCCTTCAGCCCACCTGATAAACAGACCTCTTGTGATATCTACTTATACTAGATCTGCTTATCAAGGTCGTTAACAGAGAGATAATTACATCTGTGCCTGAGAACAAAACAGCTCCAGTGCCATCACTTGGTAATCCCTCTCCTGCTGCTAGCACTCGGCTGGCCTCCTTCTCACTCAATCACAACTTCACAAATCCCTCCGTCCTTCCCTGGACAACAGCTCATGGAATTTGGGGCCCTCTGGCTCTCAAACTTACTGGGCAACCTTCTCTCCCAACTCATCAAATCAGCCTCAGAAGAGAAACTGAGATTTCTTCCTTCTTCTACTCTCCACTTCTCCCTCCACTGCTGCGGTGTTCTGACTTCTTCTTTCCCTCGTGAGCTGCCCCTTACACGACAAGCCTATGTCTGCAGGTAGGTGTGGGCTCCCTTAGTGTGAATGCTGTGCCTGGATTGTTGAACCAGGCACACACATGCCATCAAATGTCCACCTCTCCATGATTTTAAGGAAGGGAGAATTTTGCTTTCATAATTGGAAGCAAGTTGGACAAATGAAAATAGGTGTGACTTGGTGGGCACCAACATTTATCTTTAAGGCATCATTAAGGCCAGTGTTGGAGCATGGCCACCTGTGGTCAATGTAACCACTATTTTTTATTACCCACAGAGGGAATGTTAATTTCCCCCCTGGGTGGGAGTTAAGAAAGGGGTAGACAAAGGGTCAGAGCTGTATTAGGCTAGAAGTGTGCAAAAGGGAATCGTGGGATTGGGGGAAGCAGGAGGGAAGGGCAGAGCTGGTAAACAGAGGAAGAGCATTTTTGGCATTATGTTAGCACACAGTAAACTGGGCTTTTTGACCAAACATTAAGAAAAGAAGCTAGTGCTTCTCAACACATATGGTCATATGGAAGGCTTTGCTTGCAAACACTTCTGGTGCTGGGGGACATCCCTGTCCTCACAGTCCTTCCCCAAGTGCTGTGTGATGCCAGGCCTGCTGGTGAGAGGCCGGCCCATTCCTCAGTGCCCTGTGCCTGCAGGGGCAGATGGAGAGCAGAGCATCAGGCTTGCTGCCACCACCTGTCCCCTTGGGCCTGCCATTCTGAGTCTTGAATGTGCCCAGGTGTCACTTAGGGTGCTTGTTAAAGTGTTAATTCCTAATCCTCCACAGGGTGGTAGAGAATTGTGTCTGGGATGTAACAGAACAGCAAGGGCACAGACCAGGGGCTATGAAGGATCAAGAAGAGGATTCTGTTCTGAATTCGAATCCTATAACAGGAGGGCCAGAGAAGGCCCCTCAGTCTTCAAGAGACCATCACCAGCCTCGGTTCCAGTAACCAGTCACCACATGACATGAGGTTAGTCATCGCCCCTCTCTCAGCCTCAGTTTCACTCATCTGTGAAACAAGGACATCATTCTGACATCTGGGGATTCTATTATCATTGCCCATCTTGTATTTTCTTTTCTCCTTGTTCAAATTCTTCCTTGCCTCCTCTCTCTGGGCTCCTGCGACTGGGAGAAGACTGGAGAAACCAAACCTTGTCACTCATTCCCTTCACTAAAGGGTTCTTCTTTCCCCACTATGTGGTCTCAAGTAACATAGGTGTGAGCTGCTTTGTGGGTAGCCTTGGACTCTTACTCAGCCAGTGCTCCAGGGACTAAAAGGCTGATGCAGAGGATGAATGTGAATAAAGGAAAAACAAACTTCAGTTGTCACTTCTTTTATACTCTGAGCTTCAGCAACCCCAGTCCCAGGTGCAAAAGGCATTTTCATTTGTGGGAAAGTGGGAAGACACCATTTTCATTTGTGGGAAAGTGGGAAGACACCAAGAAGCCCAATTCAACCACCATGTTACCTGAACTTCCACTGGTGGAGATAAAATCCTTTCAATTATGACCTCATTTTTCCTTATTTCAGTACAAAATGACCAGACTAAGATGGGTAGACCATTGATAACTATTGACACCTTCAAGTGGGTTACTTTATATTTCATGTGCATTCGTTTATAACCTCTTGACATAGGCCTACACATAAGGGAGAGACAGAGATAGAGGCAGAGAATTGATAAAAGGAAAATAGGTATAGAAGAGTAGAAAGGAGCAGGGACACTGTTATGCAAAGTAAAGACCCTGCAATCAGGTGATGTTCCTAGAAATAGACTATGCATGCAGTTGGCTCTAAGCTTCCTTGAAGGAAAAGCACAAAAGGAAACATGGTCACTTACAACATGATTAGTGAAAGATGTTATTAGCCACGCCCTCCAAGAACTAGAAGGTTCACTAAACAAATGTTTGTTCAGCACCTATTGTAGGCCACCTGTACCTGAGTGAGGGCCTCCGGGGGATGCAGAGGGTGGAGAACAACAGCTGCTATTCTCCCTGTGTCGAGAGGAGAAAACACCCACAAGGATGATATAAGCATATCACGAGAGACGCCACATAGTTGTGTGCTATAGGTACCGAGTGCTCGGGAAAGGGAGACTCAGCAGTGTCTGGGTGGGCAGAGGAGGCCCATGAGGAAGACTGGGTTCTTCTGGGTTCTGTAAAGTCATGTCAGCTGATGAGGCTGGAAGGAGGTCTTTGAAACTGGAAAATTTCAAAGGAGCTTTCAACAGTCCTCCAGCCAGGCTGGAGAGAAGTGATTTTCAGCATGGACATCCTCTGGTGAGAACTTTTCTTACCTCAACCAAAATGATTTTCTTACCTAAACCAAATGATTGCAGAGGCATGTCCTGGACTGGTCTTCCTGGCTGCAGAAGAGGGGCCCTGTGAACCAGGAGGACAAGGGAGTTCAATCCACATGTAATTAGATGAAGCAAGATTTATTAAGCACCTATAATGTGTCAGGCATTGTGCTATGAGAGACAGGATGGCAAGCAGAAGAGGTTCTTATTCCCTGTCTGTCTGCTTCCTTACCCTTTGTGGGAGAGTCCTAGTCACCTAGAGGACAGTGGGGATCAGGTCCTCTCCACGATGGAAACAAATGGTGCATGTCCAGAGAGGCAACGCCACATTCCATGCAGCCTGTCTTGAGAATCCACTGGGAGAATGCACTGCTTGACTAAAAAAATAAAAATAAAATAAAATAAAAGTGAACATATTCATATATAGAGTGAGGCAAAATGACTTCTACAATTACAGGCTTTATAAATTGCAAGCAAATTAAAACAGAAAAGTAAGCCACTTCTCTTTCCCACAATTAGAAGCCAAATCCATGCTGTGCTGCACTCCAGTGGTCTGTCTGACTGCAGAGACTTTTTCCCATTCGATGAATTCAAGCAAACACGCATGCACACATTTATTTCTCCATTTCTTATTCAAGTACCCTTGTGGGGTTTTTTTTTTCATAAATCTGTCTTTCATTCGATTATAGAGTCCTCAAGAGTGACAAGAGTATATTTTAACTCTAATGCCTCCCGCTGTTCCAAATCTTAGGAGGCAAAGTGATTTAGAGAAAGAATCGCTAGGTTCCAGTCCTGGCTCTCTCTTCCACTAACTAGATGGCATCAAACAAGTCATTTCACCCTCTGGACTCCAATATTTTCATCTACACAAGATTATTGGACAGATAAACCCCAATGATAGTAATAACTATGAGTCCTTGAGCTCATACAATGTGCCAACCCCTTTGTGTATATTTTTCCTAATTATCACAAGGACACCGAGAAGAACTACAAATAATGATTTTGCAAATGAAGATTCTGAGTTTCAAAAGGTTGAGTCTTGCCAAAGTCAGACAAATATTAAGTGGCTGAGGCAGGACTTCCTGACTCCAAAGCCCAGGCTCTGTTATGCCACACAGCCTAAGGTCTTCCCTCTGGTCCTCATGCCCATGTTCCCGGACTTCCCAACCTCTAGCTCCCACAAAACCCTGTCCTCCCTATCGACAGGGAAACAAAGGCAGCAAGTTGGAGTAGAAAGTTCAGGTATGGAAAGACAGATGTAGACTCTGAAGCCAGTTATCTGGGATCTCAGAAGGAGTCTGGTTTTTCTCAGATGGGGGCTGAAACATACCTATGTACCCTCCTGTCTCCCATTCTACATCCAGGCAGAAAGTCTCGTGGGAAGTTCTGTCTCTAGGTCACACACTCATTCTTCAACCTCCTGGTGATCCAAGAGCAGGCCAAATAATCCAATCAAAAATGTGCATGCATTTAGGAGATGATGATGGAAGCTAAAAGTTATTGCCCCCCATGGACTTCAATTTTAATCAGCATCTGGAGGTGTAGTTCTGGCACACCAATACAAATAGCGAGTCTGCAAGCGCACACACATACACGCCCACAGAGGACTGTAATGAAAATAGTCGGAAAGCACTTTTGACTTTCTAATTTTCCAGAAACAAAAATCAACACAAAGAATCCAACACACAGCAGTCATTTGGTCTTAAGACACGTGAACAGAATTGTTTGCAATTAAAATGTCCCAGAAAATATGAACATATGGAGTTATCCTAATGAAGGAAAGTTTCTTTCTCTGTGGCCTTTTTCTGGCCCTATGCAAATTTCAGAGCCCTAGAGGAACATCCCAAGAGCAGAATTGTCTCTTTCCTGTCCCACCTACAGGGCAAGGCTGTGGGCACTTTTAAGATGTCTGTTCTACACTCTACAAAAAAAGACACCTGCACTCGAATGTTTATAGCAGCACAATTCATAATTGCAAGGCTGTGGAAACAGCCCAAGTGCCCATCAATCCAAGAATGGATTAATAAAATGTGGTATATGTAAACCATGGAGTACTATTCAGCTCTAAGAAACAACGGTGATAGAGCACATCTTATATTTTCCTGGTTAGAGCTGGAACCCATACTATTAATTGAAGTTTCCCAAGAATGGAAAAACAAGCACCGCATATACTCACCAGCAAATTGGTATTAACTGAGCAGCACCTATGTGGACACATAGGTACTACAGTAATAGGGTATTGGGCAGATGGGAGGGGTGAGGGGGACGGGTATATACATATATAATGAGTGAGAAGTGCACCATCTGGGGGATGGTCATGCTGGAGACTCAGACTTATGGGAGGAGGGGGGAAATGGGCATTTATTGAAACCTTGAAATCTGTACCCCCATAATATGCCGAAATAAAAAAAAAAAAAAAGATGTCTGTTCTAAACACTGGAATGGAGCCTGAGAAGGTATTTTTAGCATTTCCTTCTGACAAAGTAATCAGTGTGGCTACCATAGGTTGTTTGTCTCCACTTGGGCTAAGAATAAAAGTAGTCTTAGACAAGAAATAGGTTTTCAGCAGGTTCCTTTGTTTCTTTAGGGCAATGTGCCTCTGGTGTTAGGGGCCAAGGTGACCCCAGGCACTGCTGCTGTTATGAATCAGGCAGTGGGAACCAAACATAAGTGGTGTAATTGCTGGGGAGAGAGAGAGAGAGAGCCATGCTTGCAAACTGGAGGATGAATAGTTTTGGAAGCCAGGCTTAGGGGCCCAGTGAGAGACTCTATAGTACACATCAAGGACTGTGTTTGGCAAGATGAAAGTGTTTTCATCTGCCTGAGAAGTCCTGCTTCACTTTTCAACGGAGATGAGGAAAGCTCTTGGGGCATTTAGAAATGGATTTTCATGTTGGTAATGGACCTTCCGACAAGCTATTGAGCATATGTATGGGCCCAGCTCTGCTTGATACTGTAGAAGAGAAAGTAAAATGTTGAGTAGAGTGAGATCTGGTGCCCCTTTCAGGGGCAACTTGGTAAAACAAAAAGAATGTGGGCTTTTGAGATAAAATGGAGTCCCTGTTCTGTCATGGACTAATTATGCAAACTTGAGCAATTTACTTGACTCTATGAATATTGGTTTCCCTGTTTGTTAAGTTATACTTCCTTCACAGAGCTATTGAGAAATCTAAATGAGCAACATATGAAAAGGGACTGCCTACAACAGAGCCATTAGAAAGTGCTCAATAAATGTGAGTCCTATAAAAGAGCCTTTGAGGATATCTCCATTAAAAAACAACCGGCCCCATAGCTAATATCATACTTGATGGTGAAAGACTGAAAGCTTTTCCTCTAAGATCAGGAACAATACAAGGATGCCTTCTTTTGCTACTTTTGTTCAACATAATACTGGAAGTTCTATCCAGAGCAATTATGTAAGAAAATAAAATAAAAGACATCAAAATTGGAAAGAAGAGGTAAAATTGTATTTTTTCCCAGACAGTATAACTTTATATGTAGAAAACTTTAATGATTCAGCAAGAACAACAATAAAAACCTATTAGAACTACTAAAAAAATTCAGCCAAGTTACAGAATAAAAAATAAAGTCAACACGCAAAAGTCAATTGCATCTCTATACACTACCAATGAACAATCCAAAAAGGAAATTTAGAAAACAATTCCATTTATAATAGCATCAAAAATAACAAAATACTTAGGAATAAACTTACCAAGGAGATTAAAGACCTGAACTCTGAAAACTACACAACATTACTGAAAGAAAGTAAAGGAGACACCAATAAATGGAAAGACAGCCCATGTTTTGAAATGGAACAATTTATATAGTTAAGATGTCAATACTATTCAATATGCTCTACAGATTCAATGCAATCCCTATCAAATTCCCAACAAAATTTTTTGCAGAAATAGAAAAACTTATTGTAAAATTTATGTAGAATCTCAAGGGACCTCAAATAGTCAAAAAAAATTGAAAAAGAACAAAGTTGGATGTATCATACTTCCTGATTTCAAAACTTAACTACAAAGTTACAGTAATTAAAACGGTGTGGTTATGACATAAAGACAAAATATAAACCAATGAGATGGAATAGAGGTCCCTCACACATATGATCAAATTTTTGGCAAACATGCCAAAATTATAATGGGGAAAGAACAGTTTTTCCAACAGTGTTAGGAAATATAGATATCCACATGCAAAAGAATGAAGTTAGACTATTATCTAACACCATATGCAAAAATCAACTCAAAATGGATGAAAGGCTAAGAGATAAACCTATAAAACTCTTAGAAGAAAACATAGGGGAAGAACTTCATGATGCTGGATTTGGCAGTGATTTCCCAAATATGACACCAAAAACACAGAAAACAGAAGAAAAAAAATAAATAAATTATACTACATCAAAATTTAAAACTTTTATGCAACAAAGGACACTATCAATAGAGTTAAAAGGCAACCTGTGGAATGATAGAAAATATTTTTAAATCATATATCTAATAAGGGGTTAATATCCAGAATATGTAAAAAACTCCTATAACTCAACAACCAAAACCAAATAACTCAATTTAAAACTGAGCAAAAAACTTGAATAGACATTTCTTCAAAGACACATGCAAATGGCCAATAAGCACATAAAAAGATGTTCAATGTCACCAACCATTACAGAAATGCAAGTCAAAACCACAATGAGATACCATTTCATACTCAGTAGAATGGCTACTATTAAAAACCAATAAATGGATAAACAAACTAAGAAAGATAAATTTTGATGAGGATGTAGAGGAATGGGACACTTGTGTACTGTTAGTTGGAAAGTAAAATGGTGCAAACATTATGGAAAGCAATATAGAAGTTCCTCAAAAAATTAAAAATAAAATTACCCTATGATCCAGCAATTCTGCCACCGATGTATACCCAAAAGAATTGAAAGCAGGGTCTTGAAGGGATAATTGCACACCCATGTTCATAGTTGCACTACTCACAATAGCCAAAAGGTGGAAGCAACTCAAATCTGCAACATGGATGAACAGATAAACAGAATGTGGTATATACAATGGAACATTATTCAGCCTCAAAAAGGAGAAACGCTGTCACATGCTGCAACATAGAATGCACTTAAGGATATTATGCTAAGTGAAATAAATCAGTTACAAAAAGACAAATATTGTATGATTCCATATGTTAATATATGAGGTATCTAGAGTAGTCAAATTCACACGGACAGAAAATAGAATGGTAGCTTCCAGGGCCTGGGGGAGAGGGAAATGGGGAATTATGGTTTATGAGTTCAGAGTTTCAGTTCTGCAAGATGAAAAGAGTTCTGGAGAAGGCTGGCGGTGATGAGTGCAAAACAATATGAATGACGTGGCATAAAGCC